TTTTTTTTTTTTCTTTCTCTCATTAGTCATTGGGTAAAGGATGGCTTTCCTTAAAGATGGGTTACAATTTTAAAACAGAGCCTGTGTTTCTGTCTCATCCCAGATCTTTTTAAAAGTTTTTGCCTTCCCATTCAGAACTTTGTTGGGAGTTATGAAAGTCCTTATAGATATGTTACTCCTCTTCCTTCAAAGATTCCTCTGGTCTTCCGTCTTTTTGCCAGTTCAGAAAAGATGCTTCTTATTCTTGATTTCTCTACTCTGTTGACCTTCACACCTCAAGCCATTCTGAATATACTTCTGTAGTTCAATATTGGTCTGCTTTAATGGTAATCTTTGGTGTTTCTCCTCTGAGGCTGTATTTCCATCACAGCCTCTCTACTAGGAGTGGGGAATCAGACAACCTGTAGGGAATGCTGGAAGAAACTGCTGGCTTCAGGTTTCCCCTAAGGGCTTGCTTGTTAAATATGGTATTCCCGCTCCATTTTACTTGGATCAACAATTAATACTCATGGAAGCAGCAGTCAAAGAATCAAATGATGTATTGCATCAAGCAAATCTGCTGCCAAAGCCCTCTTTAATTTTGTAGAAGAATCCTGATTAAAAGGGGAAAAATGTAGAACAGAATTTTCAATTCTCATGGACTCCAGACTTTTTGGAGCCAAGGGGGCTGGATGAACTCCTGAAACTACTGTATGAAAATAATCTTTAAAACTTAAACAAAAATATCCCCTGAAGTCTTCTTAAAACCAAATAGTTTAGCCTAACTAGTAAAAAAAAAAAAAAAAAAAAGTCTGCCTTGAGCATTATGTTCTTTTAAAAACTATTTATATGGGCTCAAAATGTCACACTGAGGACTAAAATGTGCCTATCCCAAGCCATGGTATTTTCAATTAGCTCCTGTCCATGTGAAAGCTGGGCAGTGAGTAAGACAGACTGAAGAAGAATTGATTATTTGGATTATGGTGTTGGTGAAGAATACTGAATATACCATGGGCTCAGAAGAATGAGCTATATCTGTCTTGGAAGAAGTACAGAATCTTCCTTAGAAGCAAGGATGGCAAGATTTTTCTTGCTTACTTTGAACATGTTATTAGGAGGGACCAATCCCTGGAGGACATGAGGCTTGGCAAAGTAGAGGATCGGTGAAAGGGAAGGAGACCCTAAATGAGATAGACTGACAGTGGCTACAACAATGGACTCAAGCCTAACAATGACAGTAGGGATGATGCGGGATGGGGCAACGTTTGCTCTGTTATCCAAAGGGTTGTTATGAGTTGGAAGTGACTTGATGGCACCTAACAACAACTCCATATACATAGTCCTCCATGCTCTATAAGCATGATGTAGTCAATTTTAAAAAACTGTCCTTTGACCTGCATGCACTTCTAGCCCCTTCTAATAATCTCTTTCATGTAAGTTCCATGAAAGTGTGACCTACAATTGTTGGCTTTACTGACCATTTCATGTCTTCATCCTCTTAATGAGTTTTATTCCTTTCAAGATGTAGTCAAGCATCATTTCCTTTATGAGTTATTTCCTAAACTATATAGATGGAATTGTGAAAATATTTCCCAAACCTGAATCAACAATAGCACATTGCTAGTTTCAGTTGCTTGTGACTCAGTGTTAGAGCAATGTGTTGAGAAGGATTCTGAGGTCACATCTGGGACCCACTGGGAGAAGTGCTGTGATCAATTATTCAAGTGTTTTCTGGGATTGTAGGTGGGAGGGTGTTATGTGAGTCACATGTAAACTATTTTTGTTCCTCATAAAGAGGCCTCTGTCATAGAAACTATATTGCATTGGTGTTGTTAGTGTTTGTTAAATCAGCCTCTGACTCAAGGTGACCCCCATGCAAAATAGTGGTCCTGTGCCATCCCCATGATGGGTTGGGGACCTGACTGTTGTGATCCATAGGGTTTTCACTGGCTAATTTTCAGCAGTAGATTGCCAGTCCTTTCTTCCTAGTTCATCACAGTCTAGATACTCTCCTAAAACCTGTTTAGCATCATAGCAGTGTGCAAGCCTCCACTGACAGACAGGTGGTAGCTGTGCATGAGGTGCATTGGCTGGGAATTGAACCTAGATCTCTCACATCAAAGGTGAGTGTTCTACCATTGAACAACTACTGCCCTCATATATTACATTAGTTGCAGTCATTTGTTAGCATGTTTATCTTGCTATGCTAGATGTCAGTCCCCCTGTGTAGGGACTCTGAGTTATTTATCTTATTACCCAGGCAACCTCTTAGCATTCAGTTATCTTTCAACTTTTGCTGAATGAACAGATGCTTTCTTTCCTCTGATATTCTTGAGGTAGGTAAGTTACCCTTTGTCAGCCTTTGTTGTTGTTGTTATTTGCCATCGAGTTGGCCCTGACTCATAGCGACCCCTCCTTGGGTTTCCAAGGCAGTATCACTACGGAAGTAGGAATGCCCAACCTTCCTTCCGAGGAGTGGCTGGTGGGTTTGAACCACCAGCCTTCTGGTTAGCAGTCAAGTGCCTTAGGCACTATGCTACCAGAGCTCCTTTAGTTAGGACAATCCCCAATATCAATGCCACCTAAAACAAACAAAAAACACCCCACTGTCATCAAGATGATTCCAACTCATAGTTACCCTCATTGGATTTCCAAGGCTGTAAATCTTTATGGAAGTATATTGCCTCGTCTCATTTCCATGGAGCAGCTGATGGGTTTGACCCACGGACCTTCTGGTTAGCAACCAAATGCCTTAACCACTATGCCACCTGCAGTGTAGTAAATTACATAGTATGACTTTTCTAGGCATAAGTCTTTGTAAACTCCACAGTGGAATTTGCTGTGAACAACTGAGTAACTCTTGATTGTTAAAGTTATCCACCTGGGGTATTTCTGTTGGGAGCAGCATGAAGTAATTTTCTGGGAAATTCTCTCTCTCTCAGGTGTATACAATTCTGATGTTGGGCTTGGTAGGTTTGGCCACTCTACTAGACTCAAAAGGATCCCTCTTGGAGGCAGAAGGAATATCTCACTGCTGTCTGAGAGATGTGAGAGACACATGTTGCTGGGAGAGACACTGAGAGACATGCGCTGCTGAGAGAGACACTGAGAGACACACACTGCTGAGAGAGAGACACCAAGAGACATGCACTGCTAGCTGGGAGACAGTGGGCTGAGAGAGAGACTGAGCGTGCTCCTGAACTTGAATTGTAGCCTGTTGCTCCCCTAATTAACCCCATAATCTGTGAGTTCTGTGTGGGCATTGCAACACATTATCTAACCTAGCAGAGAAGTGATGGGTGCTGTGTGAGGAACGTTAAGGTTGGTGAAATGGCTGGAGGGAGGTGGCATGACCGGCCTCACAGGAATAGGCCTTGGGCTACTACTGATGGTGATTCTCTCTTCCTCTTGTGGGGTTAGAAGTCAGAAGATGTGGCCTCTTTGCCCCTTTAGCACCACCATAGCTCCTTTGTTGCCACCTAGAGATGTGGTTTTCGAACCTTTTGCAGAGACCTTAACTCAAATTAAATATCACAGTGAAACCACGTAAGTGAAACTCCTAGAGTTCCTATTTTGATTGAAGGAGATGGAGGATGGACCCAAGTCTTGCTATCTACCTAGAATATAGCAGCAGTTTTTAAGTTGCCTTGGTGGTACAAGTGATTAAAGCAGTTGGCTACTAAGTGAAAGCTTGGTGGTTTGAGTCTAACCTCAGGAGAAATGTTCAGAGGCACCTCAGAAGAAAGGCCTGGCAATGTACTTAAAAAAAAATCAGTCATTGAAAACTCTGTGATGCATAGCTGTACTCTGATACTCATGATGTCGCTATGAGTCAGAATTGACTAGATGGCAACTGTTTTTTCTCAAGGTGTGGTCTCTGCAGGAGCAGTGTATGCATCACCTGAGAACTAGTTAGAAATGTAAAGTCTGCTCTCCACCTCCAATCTACTGAATCAGAATCTCTGGTGGTGGGGCCCAGAGGTTTGTGTTTTAATGAACTCTCAGGCGATTTACAGTTTGAGAACCACTGCACTAGAGCTCCTTGGAGTTTAATTAAAGCATCCCCGAGTAGAGGAAGGCCATTAGAGCTATTCTTCATTAACCCACTGCAAAAACATTGTCAGAACAGGAAGGGTCATCCAGTGCTATTAAACTATAGAACTAGATCATACCCAATGGCTACAAGACAAGTAATTAAACTTTTAGACAAGTTTTAAAATTCCCCAAATGGAAACTCAGAGACGTAGGCGCAGTGCACCCAGACAGATGGCAGACAGGTGGGCTGGGCTTAGGACCTGGCTTCTAGGGCATGAAACCAGGAAGCTGAGTGCTCTCAGCCGTTCAGAGCTGCAGCCAGGAACCGCCTGAGCCTGAGGACATGATCTCGGTGACCCTGAGCAGGCCCTGGCTGCCACACTCGCCCCAGGGAAGAGGAATGTTGCCCTCAGGGTTTGGGCGGAATGTAATTCTTCTCATGGCCTTGCTGACTGGGTACGAACTTTCTGCCACAGTCTCTGAAGACCTGAAGATGGAACCAGAAATCTCAGGATTGAACACTGTGAAAACACTTGTCCTAACAGCTCCCCAGAAAGCAGGTAATAATCTAGGAGACTTCCCAGAGATTTTACCTCAAATACTTCGAAAACATTTCCGCAAGAGGCTGCCCAGCTTGCAGATCACAGGTCTTCAGAAAGACCTGAAGAATAATAGAATGCAGAATGGTACCAAGAACAGGGAAGAACCACCTAGCCAAGGTCTCAAAGAAGGTAAAGTTCAGAGGAAGCTCCTTAGCTTGAGGAGAGCAGTAATTTCGCCACGGGGGGGCACCAGAGAAGCACTTGTCATAGCCGGAGCTTCACCAGAGGAGAAAGAAGGAGCTTCTCCAAATGAACGCCAGAAAGCTGTGATAGATGCCTTCTCTCATGCGTGGAAAGGATACAGGGCGTTTGCTTGGGGCCACGATGAGCTCAGGCCCGTGTCCAGATCATTCATTGAGGTATTTGGTTTTGATGGTCTTGGCGTGACTCTGATTGATGCCCTGGACACCATGTGGATTATGGGGCTGCAAAAAGAATTTGAAGAAGCCACAACATGGGTATTAGAGAAATTACATTTTCAGAAAGATATACAGGTAAATCTTTTTGAGAGCACTATCCGTATTTTGGGTGGACTTTTGAGTGCTTACAATTTATCTGGAGATAGCCTCTTTTTGGAAAAAGCTAAAGATCTTGGAAATCGGCTAATGCCGGCACTTAGAACTCCCTCCAAGATCCCACATTCTGATGTAAACATTGGCACGGGTGCAGCCAACTCACTTAACAAATGCAGTCCAGTGGCACAAGTGACAAGCATTCAGTTGGAGTTCAGAGAGCTCTCTCGTATCACTGGAAATGAAACATTTCAGGAGGCAGTGCAGGAAATAATGAAGCATATCCATTCCTTGCCTGGGAAGAATGATGGACTAGTGCCCATATACATCAACGCCATCAGTGGCTTCTTCAGTTCACTGAATATCTTCACTCTTGGAGCTCATGCTGACAGCTACTATGAGTATCTGCTAAAGCAGTGGATCCAAGGAGGAAAGAAAGAAAGTCAGTTGCTAGAAGACTACATGGAAGCCATCAAAGGAATACAAAGGCACCTGCTTCAGCAGACTAGGGCCAGAAATCTGACTTTCGTGGGGCAACTTGTCTCTGACCACTTCGTAGCCAAGATGGATCATTTTGTGTGTTTTCTGCCTGGGACTCTGGCTCTGGGTGTACACCATGGACTGCCCAGTGACCATATGGAGCTAGCAAAAGCTCTTATGAAGACCTGTTATGAGATGTATCATCAGTTTAAGTCTGGGCTGAGCCCAGAGGCTGTGTACTTCAACATTAATGCCAGAATTACCCATAAAGATATGAGGGTCTTTTCTCAAGACAATTTCAATATGCTACGACCAGAGACTGTGGAGAGCTTGTTCTATCTGTACCGGTTCACTGGAGACAAGAAATACCAGGATTGGGGCTGGGAGATCCTGCAGAGCTTCAACAAGTATACACGCATCCCTTCAGGTGGCTATTCTTCTATCTATAATGTTCAGAAACCAGTTGTACGTGACCGTATGCAAAGTTTCTTTCTGGGAGAAACTCTGAAGTACATGTATCTTCTTTTTTCTGAAGACATGGACTTGTTGAACCTTGACAAATACGTGTTTAATACAGAGGCTCATCCCCTGCCCATCTGGACTTCAGCCTAAAAGACTTGGGAAATCATTGTAAATAGCAGTGTGACAGACCCTAATCATGAGACTTTTCTTGATTGCACATTGAACAGAGTAGAATTTTTAGCTCTTTCTTGAAGATCATAGATTGGCAAGCCAATTGTTCATGGATAATTAATCATTGTTGAACTTCAGTTATGGGGGGTGGTGGTGAAGCCCAGGTGTTTACTGTGAACCAGATAAGTTCCAGGTATGAATTGAAGATGGCAAGTCCAGCGAGACAGCTTGAGTCCAGGACATCTTGGAAGGCCACATGCCTCTGGTCTTTTCACAACAGGTTCTGGATGGATTTGAAACTACACTCATGTATTTCTTTAGGTGGTGATACAAGTTGGTGTTAAGACTTGTTTCTCTATGCTTTTTAAATCAGACCACTGTGAGAAAGAAGAAAGAATAAAGTCTACAAATTTTTGATTCTTGGGGGAATGAAACAAAATAAAAACAAAACAAAACAAAAAACCCAAAACTACCAGCAACACAAAATCCTGTCAAACAGCCTGATTTGTGTTTTCAATTAACTCCTCTTTGGGGAAGCTGCACTGCTGTGTAGAGAGAGGAAGGCTTATAGCTAGTGACAGAGTGTGGGACCCTGGCAATGGAGGCTAATGGAGAAGGCAGAGACAGACTAAATATGCGCTGTAGAAGGACACAGCCCCTGTTGAGCTGGGTCAGTTTGTGATTTAAAAAAATACTAAGTAAAAAATAATTGGTTGCAATTCTGGTGACACTTGCCAGTGTCATTCTCACTATTAATTGAGTTTCCATACTGTGCCCAATAAAGTTTTAACAGAGTGAAGCATGGCAAATTTGTAGACCCAGCAGGTTGCTTATTGGGACTGCACAGTCTGGCCTCTGTGATGAGTGTGGACTGATGGGCTATCAACTTTGCATTTACCCTCCAACTGGGCCCTCTCATCTGTTTGGAAGAGTCAAGCCAGATGACTATGGGCAATAAGTAAAAGTGACAATCTAAAATTCTATGCAGATTAATAGTACAAAAGGGGGTTTAATGATTTTTTTTATTTTTTATTAGAGACATACTGTTACAGAGCAGTAGAGAGGCATTGTAGGACAATGAATAAGAAGTTAGATTCTGGAATTGGTGATGCCTGGTGTGATAGTTCAAATTACTGTTTAGTATATATTCTTCCACCATTCCACTGTAGGGGGTGTATACTTTCACATTGATGTTGGGCTTAGCTATGTGAGCTGCTTTGTGATGTTATCAGGTATGATGGAAGCAGAGGCTTGACACATGCTGCTATGGGTGGCCTTCCTCTCTTGCTTTACTACTCATTGCAGGGTAGCTCTTCTCCTTTCACCTGGGATCCAGAGTAAAATACGTGGAGCAGACCTACAAGCTGCCTTTCAGCTGAGAACAGTCTAGATCAACTGAATCATAGTTGACTTATAGGTTCCTGAGCATACAAATAAATGTTATTGTTGTAAGCTACTGTGTTTGGGGTTGGTTTGTTGGGTTTAAATTCTTCTGATGCCTGTAGTTGTATAATTCTGGCAACATAACACTCTCTTTAGGCCTCAGTTGTCTTATCTGAAAAATGAGCATGATGATTACTATCATACAGACAAGTATTAAGTTAACTAATGCATAAAAATGTGTCTCATAATACCTAGTACTCTATAAACTTTAGCTATAGTTCGTTATAAAGATAATAACAATAGCTGCAATTTGTTGAGTGCTTACTCCTCTGTGCCTGGCACTAAAGCAGATGTTCTGCCTGTATCATCTTGTAATGATACATTCATTACAACTTCAAGAGGTTGTATTAATAGTTCCATTTTACAAATTAATAGTCTCAGAGAAGTTAAGTAACTTGTACAAAGTTGCAGAGAGTAGGTGGCAGTGTTGGATTCTTTTTCTAATCTGCTTTACCCTTAAGTGACTTGTGAGTTTTCCATTGTGCTAGACTGCTTCATTCATTTTTTATGACTACAATTAATATCAGTATAGTGTGTCGTCATTAATTAAGCATGTTCAAATGATCACATATGATCCTGTCAGCAGCAAAGTTGGACATGTAGAAGTGTGCCCCAGATTATTTTTTTTCTCTTCCATGGGTACATGGACTATCATCTTGAATTACAGAAGTCAGATGTCCTGCATTCAGCAGGATAAGTGTGGTCACCTTAACCTCACTTAGGGAACATCCTTTTAGAAGGATAAATGCCTTTAGAGTCACTGAGGCTAGAATGATGGGACCTGACCTTCTCATGCCCCTATGGCTAGACAAGCAACCCTGTATGATATATAGAGAGGCTGTAATCAGGCTGTTGTAGCTTTGAGGGTATCAAAGGAGAAATAGCTGTTTCCCTAGTCTAGAAAGAAGGTGGATGGTAGTTCTGTGTAGGAAAGTCAGAGGACAAAGAACAAAGAGTAACTCAGTGCCCCTGGGGCTAGATGGTGCCCTGGAAAGTAACTGCATATGGGAACTACAGTGTGGATCATTAGATCTGTAAGTGGCAGAAGTCCAACTTTGGGGCATGTTGGTGGAGCCTTGCTCTAAAGGGATTGGGATTCACCTTTCTCACCACTGCAGCTGGTGCTGGGATCTGGAGCAGTGAGATATCATCACAGTAGTGGAGCCTCTGCAACTTTGACGTAGAATCAGCTTCAACAGAGAAACAATAGCAGTTCTGTTGACCAATTAGACTCCGTTTTCTGTACCCCTGGGTAAGGAAGATATATATATACCTTCTCTCTATATAGAGAGTTTATAAATCCCTTTTGTTTCTTGAATAATTATGGGAACAGGGAGCTTCAATAAGGAGATTCTAACTTTATTGCTAATAAAGTTAATAAGAATGATGTGACTATAAGCAATATAACAAAATTGTGACTGGCACAATATCACTAAGAGAAAGGAAGACTTGGAGAGGTACAGACAATAAAGGCAAATATTATTGCAGGCACAGTACTGCATTGACAGTAATATAAAATACTAATCTACTGGTGGATACATAGGTAGAATTAAAAAAATAACAAAATGATATGATGTATTTACCTCTCCAGTATGCATAGGTGTTTGTACCTAAGATTTACAGTTGGGGAAACCAAAGCTTGAAGACATACCCTGAGATGTATAGCTAACTAGGGATGGAGTCAGAATGCAGTTCTGGTCTTTTGGTTGTGCTTCTTGTAGCTCTTGCTTGGTCCTCTCAATTTGCCCAGATGGATCAGTTGTCATCCAGTATATGAGAGGTGCACTGTTGAAAGCAACAGCCCGTACATTGTTTTACCACATATAGATCCTTTGGACCACCTGATAGCTGTCAGCCAGGGACTGCCACCATGGCGATCAGGAATCAGTATGCTACAAGGTGATAGGATGAAGGGAGCAATTGTGAGATATGTCATAAAGTCACCCCTCCCTGAAAATCAGAAGGATTTCAGTTCTCTTCTATCCACATTTTAGGGAAATTGAGTCCCTGAACAACTGTTGTGTCATTAATCTGCACCCTGTAATGATATTACAGAATGATAAAAGATATGAGTACTATCTCTCCTAGGGATATTTATATTTCAATAGGGTTTAACATATTAAGCTAAAAAGATTAGTGAAAGTAAAATTTTAGGGCATCAGGAGTGTTTACTTTATCTACACTGAATATGTAGATGAATGTACCGGTGCTCCAGTTGGCCCATATTTTTGGTTTGGGGATTTATTTAATTAAACCATCTCAAAAAAGCATAGGGTTCAATTATATGTAGTTATGCATTTAATGGATAATCTTTACTTAAAAGAGAATTACATGGAGTCAGGGGGGTTCCAAAAATCTGGGATACATGGTTCTGTATATTTTTCTTTTGACAACTTTCTTTATACTTTTTCTCCAGTTGCTGTTGAATCCATTCCAACTCTTGTACTAACCTTAAGTGATGCATTTCTTTTTTTCTGCCTGACAGGATTCAAAATACTCATTCAATCCCCTGGTGTTATTGAGCATCCTCCCATTATGTTGTAGGCACTTTTCTAGGTGGAGTAATGAAATATTTGTCTTGAGCCAGGCAATCATTATTAAGACATTGAGATGGACATGGTTAGTTGACCAACCAGCTCAAATTTCTCCATTCCCATTCTTCTGTCATAGCAGAAATCATTCCTTCCCCTCATGTAGTCAGAGATGTCACAGAAAGGTAACATCACCTCCAAGAGTAGATTTCATTATCCTAAGGACCATGTGCTTTTGAACCAATCTGCCAGGGATTGGTTCAAAATTGTCATGTGTCTAAATTCTGTCCAGTACAACATGAGAGGGACTCTGCAGAGAAGTTCTAATCAGAGTTTCCACTTTTTAAAAAGAACGACAGGCAGAGATCTTTCTTTTTCTGGACAATACCATGTTTGGATGTAATGTCTGAAATTCCTGAAGCTATCTTGGTATCAATTTGAAGTTGTAACCTACACAAAGGCAAGAGATGCTAAAGAAGAGATATGAGAAAAAGCAAAAGAAAAACAAAAACAAAAAAAACCTTTAGGCTCTTTATAACATTAGGTTGCTGCATTAACAAATCCTGAAGCCCACTCTACATTTGGACAGAGGTAACATTTTCTTATTATATTTTGCCAGAGCATCTTGTGCCAGTTAATTGCATTTAAAAGCATCTTAACTTATTCTGACATTTTCTGAGATACTTTTATTTAATTATAAAAGAATAGATTGTGTGTAGAATTTTGAATACACCCATTTCTCACTTATCAACATGGAGGTTCCAAAGACCAGGCCATTATATGAAAATTGGCATTATGCAAAAGTGGGGGCTGACCCCATCAGGTCAGAAAATTGAGGATGAGTACATCATTACCTAACTGCCAAATTTCATTATCATGTAACTACCAAACCTCTAAGAATCATGTCCTGGCCAAATTGACACATAAACTTAACCTTCACAGCCAGTGTTACTCTTTCCTTGCACCTGGACGTTTGTTATTGCCAGACATATGTCATTAATGCCC